TGATTCTGTTATTTGTTACTTGGTGTGCAATTATGCCAATGCTTGTATTAGTTTGAAGGATACTTTTTGCCAGCAAGAAAAGAACAGACTTGTCATCTATCTGCAGACAATGCAGAGAGCTGAATTCTTAAAAGCTAATACCTGGGTAGACTAAAGCTGCACTTTTCATGGATGAAAATGGATTTTAACTGATGCTGCTTTGAGTTAAACATTCACTTATTCCTGCTTTATGAAGCCATTTTGGTGATATGAAATTGATGTCATAGTTTTTTCCTTACAATTTTTAAAACACCTTATAAATTTTTCAGTATTGCAAAAAGATTGTTCACCTGACAATGTGCAAATGTATTTAAATGTAAATTAATTGTTGAACGAATATTATTGGATGGAAGGCCAACTAAGTCACTTTCAAAATGTATCACAACCCTAACAATAAGCTTTCATGATGGAGAAGAAATAATTATCATTTTGAAATTCTTTAGTTAAACAAAGGAATGTGAGTATTCTGTACATTTATTTGACTGATTTAGTTCATCTGATTTGATGAAATACAGGTGCAAGTGCTGGAGATAATGCTAAAGCTATTTCTGTTGTTTTGAAGGAGTTAAATGCTATGGAGCAGGCTGTATGGGTCCAGCCAGATAGTTTATTCAGCAACACTTAGATTTGCTCTAAAATTACATTAAAATATTCAATAAATAGAAACTAGCCAAGAATGCTTATAACAGAAGGGAGATGTGGGCACAGTGAAATTATCTCAGAGACAGTGCCAAAGCTTTCTGCAGAAGCTTCCCATATGGCATGGAGAAATGTCATTTTATATTTAACTGTGCAGTGATACAAAGCTCTTGTAGGCTGTTTTAGAATGAAATTAACAGAAAAAGATCCTTTGAGGCTAGGAGAGTGTCAAGAGAAGGAGATAAAGGTCTGTAGAGATCTGGCATCTTTCAGAGCTGATACAGTTTGAGGCTACAGTTTCCAAGGTCTTTTGAGAGGATCGTTGAAAAATGCATGAGAATTCCTCAACAACAACAAAAGCCCCAGTTTCCTGGAAAAGTAGCCTATATGAACTTCCCCTTCTTTGTCCAGCACAAAGTGAAGAGGTTCTGAGAAGCTATGCTCAACCACATACAATTGGAACATTATACACATGTTCCACATACAACTGGAACAACTGGAACTGAACCAAGTTTACTTGTACACTGTTTTTGTTTTCGTAGTTTCCCTATCCTTGATATAGGATCTGCGCTCCAGAAGGTTTTTATGTACATTTTTTTTACTGTCTATAAGGGGAGGAAATATTGAGGTGTCTGTGTGTGTGTGTGTGTGAGAGAGAGAGAGAGAGAGAGAGAGAGAGAGA